ATATTGCATTGTGTGAGCCTGTTTGATGAGGAGTGGCTTTGGCATCAAACAAAATTGCTGGCAGCCTGGCAGCTTCTGTTTCCATTGATTATAAATGGAATCTCTTGCATCTCTGTTTTTGAACAGTCTGATTAGACCTTATTCAGAGATTAACCAAAATGTGGCCCTTGCATCTATATGGTTCACGGCTTCACGGTAGGGTTCTCTTAAAAGACTTTAGCCCCTTGTTTGAGTGGGGGCTGCTGAGCGGAGAGGTGGAGGAATGGGAGGGTGGATGGAAATCTGAAAGAAAAGCAATATTATCTCAAGTATTGTTTAAAGTTCTGGGACATTATTCACACAATCAACTCGTCTTCATTTCTAATCTTATACCAATCTCATTCTTTATTAATTGCAAGACTTTGACGTTTTAGCTATTTACACACCCTATTTGGATCTTGTTTTTCTATTAATATGCTCCCTCCGGTTCTGATTCTCCTTTACCGTTTGACTTCACAGTTTTTAAGGAAATAAATTTGACTTTACTGTTGAGTACATTATTTGGCACTGTTTTGTGTAGATTTGTTTGCAAAATAAGGCAAATAAGGAAGTGTAAAGATAATTCTGAGACAGCCCAAAAAAGGAAGTGTAAATAAGATTCAGAACCGGAGGGAGTATATAGCTAAATCATTTTAAATAAAGTATTATAAAATTTCTCTTCATGGAAATTTTCGAAATATTAACCTTTTATAACTTATGGTCAAAGTTGTCTCCTAGTAAATGAAAAAGTCAAATTGTTGTATTTAAAAAGAATAAAGGTGATATAGTATATAAATCATTTTAGGATTCTGAATTTATATTCAAAAATTATTTAGTTTTATGAGTATGTGCTCTGTATATTTTAATTGTTACTCCGTCCCGCTAAGATTGTTTCGTGTTTCATTTTTGTTCATCCCATTAAAATCGTCACATACTAAATTTATAAAGTTTGTGTAGTTCTAAATTATTTTTTATTCTTATTTTATCAATGCATTATCAACCATATAAAATAATTTTTGATGACTGCACTATATCCCGATTATCCTCCTATATCAATGTTAGGGGACGGATGTAGTTGTGTCGCGTTTGGATTGAAAACCATTTTTCATCAACCAAACAAGACCTAAAATTATTTGAAGAAAACTAATGCAATGAGGAGGCACAGCGTCAAACATCCTTAAGCTGTGATGAACAAAGCCCATCTTTGAAGTTGACACCAGAGGTCTATTCAGTTCCACGTAAGTTTTCCCATAATTTGTATCCTCATCAAACAGAAAGAGACATTTGCGAAAGAATATGATAACCGAACATTATATGGATGACGACAAACATTTTGATTTTTGAGCACATTGCTTTCACTGCTCACCGTCGTCGTCATCATCATCATTACGCTAACTGGGAAAAGAAAAGGGTGTTACAAATCTCATCGTGTTTGATTTAGTTTCAATTTTATGTCCATTCCAAGAGCCAGCCGTCCATCTTTCATAAATTTTCCATGTCGCGTATTAAATATGGGGTCCTCATTTTATTTTGACACGCAACTGCCAATAATAATAACCCTACAAAAAAGAAGTGTTAAACAGAACATCAAAACATCCTCTACAAATACCCGGTGGTAAACCTTTAGGCATTGGACGTAGCTCATTCTCTAATTCGCCGTTGGACCTAGCTCAACTGGTGGATAGGGGGTCTTACAAGGGATAAGTTTTGGATTTGAATCTCGACAACTGCGATGAGAGCTTATTATGTTAAATATGCATAGGGTGTTTGTAAGTACTAGGGTCAGAGTCCTATTCTACCAACTTGTGATTAAATTCAATTTGCATTCTCTCAACTAACTGTCCGGTCGATGTTGGGAGCCCCGAGGGATGGGGCGTCATCTTCTCAACTAACTGTCCGGTCGATGTTGGGAGCCCCGAGGGATGGGGCGTCATCCTTTTTGTTTTTTGGATGAAAAATCATCCTTGTATGCATTGGAGGAGGAGGGAGTTAAAACGTTACATCAAACATTACATTGGATGTGTATATATGAGATATGGACAAGACAGAGATCAGAGCATAACTCTGGGATTAGTAGGTCTGCTAGCTGGACCAATGGTCATGCTAAACTCGTGTGTACCCGATTTTAAACCTACCAACGAAAGGTCTGTTTACTAACTGTCGTTTGCGAGTACAATTTAAACGGCCAATTTTGGGTCCAGCTCATATCACCCCACCTTAAGGGCAATTTTTGGCAACTAAACCTAGAAAGGCTGTTTTTTCCATTCATGTGTAACAAAATTTGATATTTTTTGAAATTTGATGTTCGTGAACTTTCGATATTTTTGTCCACCTAAGATTTGTGTTAGTGGAATTAAAGTTGTGTTTGGTCACATTAATCAGTTTGATCTGCATATATCAGCCGACAACTTCTTATTTAGTAAAAAGAAAAATGAGTGGTGGTAATTGATAAATGCTTGAATACGAAAGCGGCCACCTCTGTTTTTGACATTTGATTCAGTTTTATCATAAAACTCCTTGCTAAACACAAGTTTTTTTGTGTGCTAAGAAAATGATTAGTAACTTTTCTGAATTAAATGAATTTCGTTGAAAAAGAATACGTTAGGTTTCGTATGATATTTTTATTTTATTAAAAAATGCCCGTTAATTTTAGCTTCTTGTCAAAAATGATGACGCAGGCCCCAGAATCAACAAGATCGCTATCTGGGAGGAGGTAAGTTGAACTTTAATCACAAGGAAAGACTTGCTTTTTATACGCCCTTCGGTGGGATCGATCCTCACCTTGCGGCTTGCGGGGACGCCAATGTGCACTAAGTTGCCCTTTTATTAATTAAATACTTTAATTTATTTCTTAATTAACAATTCAGTCAATTCAGATTCACAAATATTGAATGCGTTAGCCAGTGTCAGTGTTACTCCATAACTAACGCACACGGTTACTGTTATACTATCGTATAATTTTCTTTAATTGCTTGTATGACATACTTGCTCTGTTCTCTTTTAGTTTTAAAACTTTTTTCACTTTTGTCAATGCATAACTTTGACGATTAATATACGGAGTATTTAAATCTTTATTAGAAAAAAAATAAAAAAATTCACATTTTCAAAAGTTGTGACAAGACAAATTTAATGATGTTTCTTCAAAAATTAATTCGGTAATATATTAGTGAATAAATGTAATCAAAGTAGAATTAGGAATAGAACATGTGTATCGAATAGAATACATTTTTTCTTCTAGAACGGTGGCCTCAAATTTAAAAAATATTAAGAGTGTTTTGTTTTTCCAATGAAAGTAAAAAGCAATATTGTTTTCATTCTGAAAAGGTTTCTTAATTCATTCTCATTATATTTCCACTTTATCAATTTTTATTAATCACATAACTCTATTTTTCTTAAAAACTATATCACTCTCTGTCTCAATCTTAGGGGCAGAAGTAGAACTAAAAAGTGTATATTAGACAAAAAAGTGACCCTATTTTTTAATTTCCAAATATGAGACAAACATTACAATTATGTCCCTACAACAACAATGATATGCTTCCATTAAGACATTGTTTGGGCCACACTGACACAATGACTTCGGCCATAGTGACTCCTGCCATAGTGACACAATGACGACGTCTCAGTGACTCTGACGTAGTGACCAGCAATGCCCCTCCACCAATCCTGCCACATCCCCACGAGCTCTGGCCCTAGTTGTGCCCAAGCCCCCGGCCCCACCAAGCAACGTTGTACCCTTGCCCCACAAGCTTTGGCCTAGCTACCAGTCCCACCCCAGCCACCTCCCTACCCTTACCACACTTGAGTCACCCTGCCCGACACCACCTCATAGCCCACGGTAGACCTACGCCACCGCACGAGCCCACATCTTAAATTAAAATGCAACCTCCTCCCAAATTCAATCTGGAATCCTGATTGTATGGTATAGTTTGAGTGGGTGTCAGAGGTGAGGCTACAACGAAAACGGTGAGGTGGCAGAAGCGGTTGAGCATTGCATAGTAGGAGACTTGGAGCTATAGCGACGTGCTTTTAAACTGAAAATCGACGTTGCACCAGACACCAACTAGAACAGCGGTTGCGGCACAGATGATTTGCGATTAAGAAAGGAGTAGAAGAAGAAAACAGGGTTGCGGCAGCAGTTGAGTAGGCCTGGCAGCGGCTAAGGAGATGGCGGCATCGAATGCAACTATGTAGGTGGCGGCGGTCGGCGTAGAATGATGGCTCCCGTTCGTGGAGAAATCAAGAAGGCTGGTAGTGAAACAAAGAATCAATGCGTTATGTTTTGTAAAGGGTATTTCAGTACACTTGTTATAAAATGATCTATATTTTGTCCAAATTAAAGGTTAATCGTATTTTTGTTCACTAAAACCATAGAAGTAATATTTTGTGTCATTTTTTCTTAAACGTTAGATTTGGTCATGGAATGTTCTAGTTTATTCCGTTTGGTTTTTTTATCTCGTAGTGTTTAAATTGACAATAATCTGCTCTATTTTACGGAGTATTTATTTTGAAGCTTTTTTATCAAAGAACTATTGATGTTCTAAATGAATCTCGTTAAACCATTTTAACATAATTCTATCATTTTAAGACCTCACACTCATTCAACCAGACCAAAGTGATATAATCCGTATATCACTCATTCTAACATAATCCGTATTATGATACGACCACACTCTATCACATCAGAGTCACACATTTATAATCGACCCTACTACAGATATAGGCCTAAATGAAACCGTTCAACCAATGTACCACCGTGAACTTCAATAGTAAGATGCCGTTCAGAACGCGCTTAATTTTAATGCATTCAACCGTTTCTTTTCAATCGTGCAACAACATTAGATAACCTGTTCTTTTTGTTCTCGTTTTAAATGCAGTTATTTCGTGGAACCCTACAGTTATTGACTTACGGGCAATCCATTTGAATTTCATTTTATCAATGTTTCATGTTTGTTGTGAAGGGTTTTATCAACAATTTGAAGTAAGTTATGAAATTGCTTAATCAAAAGTGCAGATATTGAGAAACATAGACCATTGATTTGAACATCACTTTATCGAAAGCATTATTACTATGGTTGTTGAGCAGATTTTGCAACAATTTTAAATCTCTTGATTCTTGAAGTCCTTAAGAAACTTAACCAAACAATAGGCTAGAAAGGATAGAAATTCTCTTTTTAACTTTTTCTTGTTTTCGTTTTTGGACATGCCCTTTCATGAAGCTCAACTCAATTTTCTTCCTTTACTCTCTTTTTTTCTGTACAAGCCCAAATTTATTTGTTCAGGCCATTCCATGGTTGGTCAGGTCTCTCCATTGACCATAGCTCTAAATATGAGAAACGAAACAAAGGTGGTTTCTTTTTCCTCTAATCGCCTCTTCCCTCTATGAATTACTCCGTTCGATTTACTCCGACGCGGTTTATGGACGCAGCGGGTGCGTGTTGCATGAACATCACGCGCCCATTCCCGTTCTGCGACGGTGGCTGCTGTTGAAATTGCAACATTTGTTGCTGCGGCTGCTCATATCGCCGTGGCTGCCGGTGGCTGTTGTGGTGGTTCTGTTCGGCGTCCATCATGTAACTCCTGACCTCTGCTTTGATCATATCCTGCATCACTGCCAGCAATTCCTGGCTGAACGGCACAAAGACTCTGTCTTGCTGGACCTGTGTCTCTTTCGCAGCCATTGTTACCGCTTCCCCTCCCAGATCGGGTTTTTCATGAGGTATCTGATGAAACGACATAGGCGGAAGCAGCGGCGGTGTCTGCATCGCCGCGGAGAATAGGGGAATTGGGCTTCTCGGATGGGTTGACTCGGTCAACCGTGGGGAGACCTCCGGCGAGTCGACTCCAGGGAGTGAAAGGCTCAGGGACGTCGGAGGGTCAATCGGCGGCGGAGGTAGCGGCGGAGTCTCCGCCTGAGGAAGCAGAACAGCGCCGGTTCTGGGTATGGGCTTAAAAACATGAGTTGAAGGGGACATGGGAGGTAGACTCGAATCACTGATATCCGACCCGGAAGGACTACCCGGATTGAAGTAGAGACCCGAAACAGGGAGCGCCGCGCCGGCACTCACCGATCTCTTCAGCGGCTGCTGGTGGATCATGTCGGCGAGATCGCTGCCTTCGTCGGCGCTCATGGAGGAGCACTTCCTCTTGAGAGTGGAGTTCCAGTGGTTCTTAATGGCGTTGTCGGTCCGGCCAGAGAGGAGGCGGGCGATGGTGGCCCACTTGTTGCCGAACCGGGCGTGCGCGCGGATGATGGTGTCGTCTTCCTCCGGCGTGAAGGCGCGGTGCTCCACCTGCGGCGACAGCTGGTTGCACCACCGCAAGCGGCAGGACTTGCCGGATCTGCCGGGGATGGATTTGCTGATGAGAGACCAGTTTCTGGGGCCGTGCTTCTGAACCAGTTGCTGGAGCAGTTCATCTTCCTCGGGGCTCCATGGGCCTTTGACCCGATCCACATCTTTCCGGGAATTGGAAGCCATTTCTGTTCCGATCATGATCGATCAACCCAGAAACATGAACCGATCTTATTGTTTAATTTTCGGTTACCAATCTAGAAAAACAGAGGATGATTATGAAGAATGAACAGGGGAAGGAGTTTTTTTTTCAGTCGAAAGGAAACGGAGAAGGGAGGGGTTGCTTATATACAAGGAGCGGGGTGGGGTGGGGTGGGGTGGGAGTGGGTGGGTGACCGGTACTGCAGGTTGGGGGGAAAGTGAGCGTTATATTACGGGCGGAGCGGCGTTACCCTAATTCCGAACGCTGTAATGTACGTACGATTCGACCTATTATCTATCTATCTATCACTATAGGGTATAGTACCGTAGAGGGAAAGCGGTTAAAAAAATGGATGGGGGATGGGATACAGCTGGCGAACGGACACGCGTCACATCACACCCCTGCACTCACTTACACATCCACAAAAAAACGGAGTAACATAACATACATATGCTACACAACTCTCGTTTACTCCCCCTTTTTTAAATGGTTAGCGGCCCACGCATGGATCTGGAGCCTCTGCCTTACTTTAGAGTAAGGTCGAGTGTCTTGCTTCCTTCCGATCGTCCGATCCACAATTCAACGGTCGGAGATCTTGGGCTCCACTTTTTCGCCAATCTCGAGGCCGTGTTGGCCGCTACCCTCCCGTCCGATGCGCAAGGCACCCTCCTAGTCGGGTAGAGGATCCCAATCCCCCACGCATAATCCCAAATTGAAATTCTCCATTTTGTTTTGGAGTGAAATTTGCTGGCCTGGTCTGATCTGATATAGTTTGGTCTGTTTAAATCTGATCTGAACTGGTCTGGTAACCGTCTGGTTTTTGTGTATTTTATAATTATCCAAATCTGATCTGGTCTGTTTAGGTCTAGTTTGGTCTGATTTGTTTGAGTCTGGTCTGATCTGGTATGGTCTGGGACTGAAAACGATCCAAAAGAAAACATCCTTAATATGTTTCCATTTTTTTATATCAAATTTGTTAAAGTTTGTATAATTTTAAATTATTTTACTTTTATTCTTACTTTATCAATTCAATACTAAACATATAAATTCACTTTTCTTGATAATTGTGTTACTCCCACATGTCTCAATGTTAGTAGATGGAGGTAGTCCTGTGTAATACTATTACATCCGTCTAAAAAAATCACTTATCTTTTTGAAATATTTAAAAAATAAAACTCATTTTCTTATATAGAGTGATTTGTGTAGCTAATATTTATTTACTTTTTTCTTATTCAATCTCACTCGTACATTTCTATGTTATTCTCACTTTTTATAAGCACATGAGTCAAATTGGGAAGAATTTTTGGGATGGGTGAAGATATTAGATGACGTTGGAAATGTATTGACTTGTTCAAGCAATTCAAATTTATACTACGTAAGTTTTTAAGAATTTGAGATTACTTGGTAGTACTATAATCGGTGAATGCTAAGGTTCTAGGAGGGAAAAGGTTTCAGTGACATTGTGGGTTGGTGCTAGAGTTTTAGGTGTAAGTTACACCCAATGACTATTGGTGATATTCATTAGTTATTACTATTTAAATACTAATCAAATCTTGGTTCAAGAAAACTATGATATGAGAAAGGTAGTATTTCCATACATAGCAGTAAGTTAGAGAACCGACTGGGCTCGTTATGTCATGATAAATCTAATTCCAACACTGCTTCACATCAAAGAAAGTAATGCTAGTTAAACTAAAGGATGTATCTTTTGTATTTGTATTATCAATTATGTATGTGGAGAAAAGCAGATTTATTTGTTAAAATCTCATCCGCCTCCTTAACTTAATTTGACTCCATCTAAACAAAACTATCTCCGTGGGGATACGGCCCACATAGCGTAGCGCGACATGCATAAACGAAAACAGGCACGTATCATCTGTTTCTTAACAAATATTATAGAGAAAATTAACACACGTATGAGTAAAAGAGGGATAGTTTCCCAATGTATGACTAGAGTAGTTTCCCTAAATCATGGTAAATGACATGCCACATTTTCAATCCAAACAGTTATAGTCATACCAGGAGAGGATCTATATTATGACTATGGTGGGCTGAAGTCCAGTGCAAAGTAAAAAAAGAAAAAATTTTAAGGTATTATTCTCACAAAATTCTATCCAGCCCAGCCCAAATTTTTCTATAACCCAATCCAATTTTTCAGCTCAACCCATAAAACAAAATCATTCCATATAAAAATCTAATCTAAATGTTATACGAATTACCTTCCACTTAACAAGAGGCACTTTTGTAATAAGGGCCGTAAAGCCCAAAAGGAATAAATGTAATAAATACAATAAAATATGATTCAAATATGATTCACATCAACTTGTAAAGTGTTTGAGTATATTCAAGAACATTGCCCAAAAGTGAGTTCTTGGGCAGAAGTTCATAGTGTATATAGACACTTTCCATGTTTTGAATTTGTGTTCAATTCACTTTTGATATAACGAGTATTCTTTGTCAAGACCTTCAAACAATTATTGGATATCTTGATAGCAATGAGACATGTTTCTACTACACAACTCATTCTCGGGGAAGTGACATAAAATGGATGTGAAGGCTTTCTTGAAGAAGCAAAGGAGTTTTGCTCAAAAAAGAAATTCTTGTACCGAAATTGAATTCTAAATATATGGTTGGTCATTGCCGAAAAGAAACTACAGTTGAGCATTCATCATCACTTTGATGTTTTCAATGAGGCAATAGACTTTGTATTGTTGAAGTTAAGGACTCCGTTTAATGATATATCAATGGATCAAACTCCTTTCTTTGAGTGCTTCATTGGATCCCGAAAGTTCATAAGTGTCATTCAATGCCGATGCTATTTGTAATCTCTTGCAAGGAAGTTCTATCCCGAAGGTTTTAGTAATGCTTTTGAATTCGAGCGACAACACTATGCTCATGATGTGATTCATGATACAAAGTTTCGAGTATCTACACTTGTTGGATTATGTGAGCAGTTGACTAAGAGCAAAAGATCTGTTTCATATGTTATGATCAGCATATTGATTCGCTTTGTATTGATCTTATTGTTTTCACTACAACAATAGAATGATCATTTTCTGCAGTGAAACTTTTAAAGACAACACTCCGCGACAAAATGGATGATGACTTTTTTGTTAATTGCAATACACTTTATATTGAAAAAGGTCATACTCTTAGTATAGATGTAGACTCTATAATTGACGAGTTTTTTTGTTTCAAAGCTTCGTTGAGAACAAATTTAGTGGAGAACTCTTATATATTCTTTTTTGCTTATTTTGAAAATTTTTAATGTATTATCAATTAAGTTTTTCAGCCCAGTCTAACATGAAATCCTGGATCCGTCCCTGAGTCATACGGTAGACATCCCAATATTATACTCCCTCCTTCCGTCCCTCAAAACCTTACCAAATTTGACATGCTCGAATATAATAAACTAAACTAAAAGAGGTAAATGTGCGCAGAAGAGGCTGAGAGAAAACAAAAGGCTTCATGAGAAAGGTCTAGCAAAGACGTTGATGCTGGACGAAGGGAAGGAGAAGGATTGACATAGAGAGATCGAAAAGGAAAGGAGTGGAATGTCGATGGGAAGAGGACTGACAAGGGGAAATGGGCAAGAACATAAAAGTGAACGCCGAGATGGACGTTGGGAAAGGACTGAAACAAATCTTATGGTAAATGATGCTTCATGTGAGAATATTTACAGCTGCATGTATTATTAATAGGTTTCCCACTCCTACTCTTTTTGGTGCCTCATCATATGAAAAACTTTTTCAAAAAGTCCCTTACTATAATTCGTTAAGAATTTTTGGGTGTGCATGTTATCCTAATTTTTCTGCCACTTCTTCCAATAAACTCTCTCCTCGTTTTGTTCAATGTGTTTTCCTTGATTATGCATCTGGATTTAAAGGTTATCGTTGTTTTGAGCCCAAGTCCGGTAAAGTTTTTATTAGCAGGCATGTTCGCTTTCATGAAAGTATTTTTTCGTACACCACGTTGTCCTCTTCTACGGGTCATGCCACCTCTCCATCCCTTCCTTTTGATCATAATTTTACACTCACTAATACTGCCTCAACCTCTACACGCCCAACTGTCTCCCCTTCCCCATCAACACCTCGGTGCAGTCCCACCCCTATTCCAGCCATCACAATAGTCTCCACTCCCCCACCAACACCTCGGTACAGTCCCTCACCACCACCCGAGACCCCTCCACATGACCACATTCCCAGCTCCCCTCCTATTCCTTCAGTTTCCCTTCTGACCGAGCCGATTGTTACTGCCCCTCCCGATACTCCCCGGTATGCTACATCCACGGCTGAAGTGCCCTCCCCACATATACCTCACGGCTAGCTTGCGAATAATCACCCCATGCAGACTCGGGCGAAGTCGGGAATTTTTAAACCAAAAACAATTTTTAATTTGAACACAGTTGCTTTATCAGCTGATCCTACGTGTTTTTCAGAGGCTAATAAACATTTAATTTGGCGTGCGGCGATGGCTGCGGAATTTAATGCTCTTATTTCTAATAATACTTGTGATTTAGTGTCATTTGATAATTCTAAAAATGTTGTGGGCTCTAAGTGGATTTATAAGACTAAGTATAATTCTGATGGTTCTATTGAGCGACATAAAGCTCGTTTGGTTGCTCAAGAATTTAATCAACAGACAGGTGTAGATTTTTCTGAAACATTTAGTCCTGTCATAAAACCCACCACTGTTCGTATTGTTCTTACCTTAGCTATTTCTTTTGGTTGGGTCGTTAGACAGTTGGATGTTAAAAATGCCTTTTTGCATGGTCACCTCACTGAGGAAGTTTATATGCGTCAGCCGCGGGGTTTTATTCATCCTTTGTTTCCTAATCATATATGCAGATTGCGAAAAGCCATTTATGGTCTTAAGCAAGCCCCACGGGCGTGGTTTCATCGTTTTAGTAGTTTTCTACTCTCTCATCACTTTACGTGTTGCAAGTCTGATAATTGTTTATTCATTTATCGTCAGAATAATAATGTCATTTATTTATTACTATATGTGGATGACATAATTATTACTGGCAATTCTTCCACTGTTAACACCTCTTTTATTCAGCTTGTTGCTACACATTTCGCTATGAAAGATCTGGGTGATCTTCATTATTTTTT